CCCCAATAAAATGATTTATAAATAAACAAATCCTGTTGCTTGCTTGTGTATACTTTGTATGCTCCCAGTAGTTTCCCAGTGATTGTATGTCTGCAGTTGTCAAGGCTATGCATCCCAGTACTTGGGGTCTGAGTTTTATACAACTGGTGAGAGGCACAGCGGGTTTGCATGTTGGAAGGCAGCCCAGGGTAGTGGTTACCAAACAGATGGGCTCTGGAATCCACATCAGGGCTCAACCAGGAAGCATGCTATTTGACTCTGTGACCTTCGGCGATCACATCTATAAAATGGGAAAAGTAGTCGTGCCTGCTATTGGCTGGGATTCTTAAACAGAATGACCCAGGTAAACACTGTGCACAGTGCCTGGCATACAGCGCATGCATGCTCCACGAACACTCACTAATCTTATTACATGAAATAGAAAGACTTATTCCAAAGACTGCACCAGTACTTTTAAATAAAATTTGTAGTCTATAAGAAGGTAATTACTCCAAGATTGTCCTTCCTGCGTGGTAGTGGTGGGGTTCTGTTGAGCATTAGGAGGCAGTTATCATCAATGTCATTAGCACAACAGTGCCTTGCATTCAGGGACCTATCCTTAGTCTACTACAAAAGCCGAACTCAATGATTATCTAAAAACTCCACCTTTTAAAGAACCTTAGACAGTTTCATCACACCTTAGGAAAATTTAATAAAAGTTAAGTTATACTACCAATTTTTTAAGTCCCCATGGTGCATACATGATGTATGTTACATTACAGTGAAACCTATGAGAGGCAGAACTCAATGGTACTGCCTTGCTTTCTTCTGAATCATACAAGTTTTCTGCCTTTAACACTGTGATGTCTTACCACTTTTATATCACTTGTTTTAGTGGAAAATGCACAAGTACTTTTTTTCTGACAGATTTTCGTCTAATGCGGGTCTGACTTTCACACATTTTACTGCACATACTTATGAAATATATAATAAGCAAGTGCAATGTGAAGAATTAAAGTCACATAGTACTTATAACTTTAGATTTTGCCACCAAACTTCATTTACTTTGGTCAAGCTATCAAACTGAATTTAATAAAAGAATTAGGGGATAACATTATTTTAAAGCCCAAAGGGTTAAATAAATCAAAAACTCAGAAGTTTCACCTTACTGAGGGGAAACAGTTTGGGTTAATGATTAGACATATTCAATTATTTACTCTAGTAAGAGTCACTGATAAGTCTGCCTGCCCTCAGAGAAAACGGCACGTCTCACAGGAATGCACATGGCTGAATCGATGGTCTGTGAAAAGGAAAATGCCCAGAGATCCTGTGGACACTGGCAAAAGGGACAAGGTCAAATTGAAAACAACGCCAGACAGCCACTTCCCTCAAGTTCATACCCGGATCAGAATTCACCAGATCACAATGTACCAAATTTAGTTGAAGACAGAACCCCACAGCCTTCAATAGGTGAACTGAGTGTCAGCGCTGTGCTAGCTATTAGTTGACCTATTAGTCATGGTTGAATTATAAGGTGTGGGTCCTTGAAATTAACATACTCTTTTCTTTTGGGTTTTGTTTTGTCGAAAACAGTTTATTTGTCACCAACAGATTTTACATGTTGCACAGCAGCCAAATCTCTCACAGGTAGAATTTTGGCTGAGTAGCATCTTGTCTTGGTTCAAAGACAGCTAATTTAGAATGCGTACTCGTCACCATCTCTTTATTTTTTTAATAGTTTGGATTTAATACATATATCATGTAATTCCATGATTCAATCACACCAAATACAATGTACAATTGCTACCACTACTGGTTTCTAGACATTCTAGTTCTGCATGGAACCCTTGACATCTTCTCCCTTGTACCTCACCACTGTACCCCCATCTCCCTCCCCAAATTAATATATTTTGGATTCCCAATAAAGAGCTAAAGAATACTGGTGGAAAAATAAGAGGAGGG